AAAAAAAAAAATCCGGTAAACACGTTGATATATCGCCTACCTGCATTTCTACCAATATAAAATATAACTTGTTTAACATACAGTATAAAAGGGTTTCTTATTTTTTAATGGTAACGATTATCTAAAATGAAACACTCCACAACAACAACAACAACAACCACATTTTTTTTTTTTTTTTTTTGTAAAATATTATTTTGTTTAGCTTACGAACTTTTCTTTTTACGAGGAGGAGGAAAGAATTTAATTCACGGGTAAGCGCCGTTTAAATCTTGGTATAAACATAATTTCCACACCACCCCCCCCCCGTTTATCCTAATTTTGACACCGAGTCGGTCCCGGTCGGTACTTTTTTTTTTTTCATTTTATTTTATCGTAAAAAAAAAAAAAAACTTGAAAATTGATTTTATTTTATTCCTTCTTTTAAAAATTAACGTTTAAAAACAAAAATTTGTTTAATGTACTTAATGGAGGGGAGGGGGGAAACGAATTTTATAAATTTACTTATTTATTTATTTCGTTCGAGTAATGAATGAGAAACAAATCGAAACAAACTGATTTTTTTTGTTTTTTTTTGTGTTGGGGAGCTCAAAATATTTATTAAAAAATAATGATGATGATAAGCGTATCAAAAGTGATTTAGTTATTAATTAAATAATAATAATAATTAATTTAAAACGGTCGAAATCGTTAAAAACAGAAAATAAATAAATAAATAAATAAATTGAGTTTTTGTTATCCTTTTTTCGAAAATTTTCTTCGTTAAAACTTTTTTTTTAATTTTTTTTTTTGTTTAAATAAATTATGTTAGAAAATGTTTTCTAGAGACGCCATTTTCTTTTTTTTTAACATAAGCGTAAGTAATAAATAAATAAATAAAACAAAAAGAAATTCAAATTGTTTAATAATAAAAAATAAAAATAAAAAATGTAAAAATTATGATTTTTATTTACTGAAAGCTAAGAAAACTTTTTAACACACGGGTATTAAAGGTAAAACTTTATTATTATTATTACTATTATTATTATTATTAGTAGTAGTAGTAGTAGTATTATTATTATTAGTATTATTGTTAATTTTTTTTCGCTTAAAGGAAAGTAAATATTTAAATATAATTGAACGATTTTTTTTATGCAAGTTTTTCTTCCTTCCACATTTGAAACGTTAAAAAATACAAATTATAGCATAAATTATTATTATTATCAATATTATTATCATTATTAGAAAAGTTTAATAAAACTACAGCAAAAAAATTTTGTTCGGTTTTTTTTTACGACATCGCGAAAGTCATAGGATAAAAAGACGGAAAATTTTTTCTTTTTTTCTTTTTTTTATGGGCAATTTTGAAATCCCGACGTTTTTGTACATCAAAAACAAAATCATCATCATCATCATTATTATCATTATCATCTCAATGGAAAAATCGGAAAATTTTCGAATCTTTCAGTATAAAAAAAAAAAAATTATTATTATTATTAATTAATAATAATAATTTTTTTTTTAATACGAAATTGTGAAAAATTTATTTCATTCACATCTTTAATAATCCTTTTAACTCATATTAATAATAATAATAATAATAATAATAATGACGAAATCATTATTAAATAACGATCAATAAATTTATAAACATTCTCCTTATGTACGTTATGTATTTTACATTATTATTATTATTAATTTTAATAAATGAATGAATATATTTGTGTATATATATATATATATATATATATATATATATATATATATATATATATTCAATTTTAAAAATTTTTATTTAAACAACCGATTAATAACATATTAACAACCTCTACTCACTTATTTATTTATTTATTAAAATTTTTTTTTTTTTTCATTTAAAAAAAAAAAAAAATTAACATTATTAAAAAAGGGATTTGATAATTTTATTATTATTAATAATAATAATAATGATGATGATGATAGCGATTCATACATTAACGCGAGAGTGTAAAATTTAAAAAAAAATTTGAAAAAAAAAAAAACGATCGAATTATGTACATAAAAAATTATTAATCCATTTTTTTTTACTTGTTCGCTCGCTTGTTTGTTCGTTTGTTCGTTCGTTTGTCAATCAAACGAGTATAAATTTTTTTTTTTTTTAAATGCACATTTAAAATAATAATAATAATAAACGTTGCAACAAGAGCTTATTTAAAATAAATTATTAATATTATTATTATTATTAAATATGCGTATATATATATATATATATTTCGAAATAAATTTTTTTATTAAATATATATATACATAAATGAAATTTATTAAAAAAAAAAAAAAAAGTTGTAATTGATGGAGAAAATCATTTAAAATAACTTAATAGCATAATTTCATATAAAAAAATATTATTATCATTATTAATATTATTTATATTGCGTATTTTATTATAATATTAATAACGCGCGGAAACGCGAACACGCACACGCATTTTTTTTTTTAATAAATTTTTCCGGCGCATATATCTTCTTCTTATAAAAATTAACACGCGTAATATAATATTATTATTATTATTTTATGTTTATATTTAAAAAAAAAAAAAACTTACCGGTTTTTTTTCCTTTTCTTATCATTTACAATCATTGATAAAACAAGTATTATTATTATTATTATCCGACGGTTCTATAGAAAAAGTTTTTATTAAATTTTACATAAATATACACACATTAAGTATAATAAAATCACTTTTTTCACGACAATAAGCAAAAAAAAAAATATATAAATAATAATAATAATACACAGTTTGATATAGTATCAATTCATTATTATTATTATTATTATTATTATTATTTGTCACTTAATAAATGTTATTAATAATTTTAATTGAGTATATAACACTAAAAAAAATGTCCGCACACAAACTTTTTTATTTTTTTTTCTCGTATCACTTATTCGATTTATCACTCATCGGTTAAAATTTTAAATAAAATTAAAAAACAGGGAAAATTTTTTTATAAGGGGAAAGGGGGATGATTTACCCCCCCGCGAAAATCGACGATATAAAAAACAAAAAAAAAAAAAAGAAAATTTAAAAATAAAAATAAAAAAAAAATACCGATAAAAATGGTGGTTATATCTCTCTTCTGACTGTTCTGTACAAAAAAAAAAAAAAAAAAAAAAAAACGCAACATTAACGCGCGGCTGTCAACTTCTTCCACCTGTTTCTCTCTCTCTCTCTCTCTTTCTCTCACTCATCTCTCTCATCTCTCTTTTTCTAATCTTCTTCAGGCTCGGGGCTAAGTTGAGATGGTGCGCTATGCTCCGTAGCATAACTCTTTCGATACCTTGGTTGGATATCACAGGTTTCTTATTCGATATATATGAAATTTTTAAACACTTTTTTTATAAATTGAATGTGTAATCTCATTGTTAACTTTCCCATCGATTAGTTTTTTTACTATTCGAATTCGACTAGTATCATCATCATCATCATCATCATGTTCAATTTCTTTTTTTTTTCGTACCACCGATCGTTACGTCCGTGAGTTTTGTGTGTGTGTGTGAAAATTCATATTTAACTTTTAGACGGTTAATTAAAATAAAATATTGATGATGACGTCAAAAACATTGTATTGTTTCTTATTTTCATGTCATTTAATATTATTACTACAACATCCTTGTGAAAATCTTCGTCGTCGTCGTCTTTTATAAATAATAAATAGTATAAAGAAAAAAAAATTTTTTAAATTATTTGACGTTTTCCGTTTTCCTTTTTTTTTTTAACCCAAACACGATTTTCATTTATTTTTTATTTATTTTTTCTTAAAGGTTTTTTTTTTTATAATTTATCGATTCTTTTTTTCCGATTTGAATAATTTAAAACTAATAATAATAGTAATGATAATTTACTCGTTTTTTTTTTTTTTAATTATATTATTTTTAATATTTTTCGTTACGTGTATATATAAATTTTACACGTGTTAATTATAATTCCTAAGGGTTTCCGGTTTTTCAACGTTAATTTTCTTCGATTTTTTTTTTTTTTTTTTTTACAAATTTTTAATTATTAATATCGTTAAAAATATTTTTATTTAATTAAATTGTCGACTAAAGTTTTTCGAAATAATTTTTAATTATTTTTTTTAATTTATTTTTTACGTATAAATGTGTAAAATGGGAAAATGGGGGAAAAAAAGGCGCGGAGTTTTTTTTTTTTAACGAATTTTTTAATTCCATAGAGTATAAAAACAAATTTTTTTTGTTTTGTTTCCTTTATGATCCGTTAAAATTAAATTTTTTTTTTTTTTTTTAAAGTTGGCACGTTTTAATTTGAAAACAAAAATGTCGGATGATTATAGAAACAATCATGAAGGTTCTTCGTATGAAGACACTGACATCGGTTCTTTTAATTTCGATATCGAAGAGGTTATTTGAAAATTAATTTTACGAATCCATTGTAATTTTTATCTTTTCGAATAGTTTTTCGTTTCGTATTTTATTTAATTTAAGTTAAAATTATAAAAAAAATTTAAATTTCCACTAATTATTCCGTTGATTTGATTGATAATATTATATATATATATATATTATTTTGATAATTTTTTTTTTTTAAGTTGGACGATGCCGAATATCAAATTCCACAAATTATCGAACCACCTACTTTAGAAAGTATTTTAAACGAGGGAGACGATCATATATCTTTGAATGAAGACTGTGATTCACTTAACTGGTCTCAGGGTATACATTCCAGCCTCATTGGTATCGAAGGGGGAAGTGAAACTCTATCTATAGCTAGTCGAAGAAGTAGGACTTCATCTGATAAAAAAGATTCTTCTTCATCAACTGCATTTCTACGTTTTGTTTTGCTCAAAAGTGTTTCAACACAAATTAGTTCTGCTGTGAGTGAAAAAGTTTTTTTTTTTTTTTTTTCGAAGTGTCATTGGAGTTTACAAAATTAATTTTTGTTTTATTGAAATAAATTACAGGAAAGAATAAATGCAGGCTATGCGACAGCAATAACGGTTACTAGCATGGTTGCCGTTGGAACTTCACATGGACTTATATTAGTATTTGACAGTAGGCAAACATTAAAATGGTGTTTGAGTAATACAGATGAAGATCAAGGATCTGTTTCTTGTTTGTGTTTTAACAATGATTCAACTAGGCTGTTGGCTGGTTTTGCAAGAGGCCAAATTTTAATGTACGATTTGACCAATGGTAAATTAATTAGAACTCTAATGGATGTTCATCCTCCTGGTACTGCCGTTCTAAGCGTCAAGGTAAAAACAATGTTTTCCCCAAAAACATATTTTCATTTTTAATTTTTTTTTTTTTTAAATAATTATTCATATCAGTTCACAGATTCTCCTGCGATAGCACTTTGTTCAGATTCTGGCGGTTCGGTTTTTGAATTACACTTTACGAGAACTCTCGGAGTGAGGGGTTGTAATTCGAAATGCCTTTTCTCTGGGAGCAGAGGAGAAGTTTGTGTTATACAGCCTCTCTTACTTAATCATTTGATTTCTCATCCTCTGCAAGGAGTAATTTTAGTTGCCATGGCCACTCTCTCAAAGGTAATTAGAAAAGTTATTTCATTGCATGTTAATATGTCTACAAAACCTTTTTTTCCATAAATTCTGAAGAAATATTTTGAAAATGGTTAGACCCAGTCATGCTGTTTTAATAGTTTAAAGACATATTATGGAAGAAATTGTGAAAGAATATTTTTTAAAAACTTGAGGAATCTATGTGTGATTGGATTTATAATTATTTTAAACCCTTGAAGATGGAAAAAGAAGCTTTTCCTTGGCCTAAAGGTAGTTAGTTGATCTGTTTTTGAATTAATTTTTCAGGTTTCACTTCAGTATTTAGTATAAAAATTATTTTAATCATTTTAAAATAGTATTTATGTTTTTATATAATAGGTAATTGTTGTCAGTATCAGACCCAAAATGAGAGTTGTGTTAGTTAAAGCTCTTCCTCCTGGCTCTACAGTTTTACCACTGGTATCTTGGCAGTTTGTCGTCATTCAGGTTTCTGGTAATGGCAAAATTATTGATCCAGTTTTGGCATTTGCCAAAGATAATTTTATTCATTTTTTTCAAGTAAGATTCACAAACTTTTTTTTTTTTCCTCATTCAAAGTCACAATATGAATAAAATTGAAATTGATAATTTTTAAAATTATAAATTTATTTGCAGATCTCTTCAGATTCTAATTCAAAATTAAAAGTAGCAGCATTGCAAAAATTAGTCGTTAATTATTCTTTATTGTCTTTGCATTGGTTAAATTCTTGGACCATTGCAGCCGTCGACATAAGTGAAAGATTGCATTTATTAGACGTTCATTCTCACGAAGAACTTGAAAATTTAGATCTTTCTGATATTGGTTTGGTGTACGAATCAAGTAACTTCAAAGGTCTCATGACAGGTGGTAATGTTAGCCAAGCTATGGTAATAATAAGCAATGATAATTTGATCAATATCCAAGTTCTATCCCATCGTTACACAAATTTTTTTGTTTTTATTTAAGGCCGTGGCCGGTGAAAAAGCCTGTTACAACACAATCGTGGGCTATGGAAATCAAATATTAGTTTTAGGTGCTAAAACAGTACACCTACTGAGCATACGACCGTGGATTGAAAGACTGAATCATTTAGTAAAACAAGTAAGAATGCTAATGAAATACTGCCATTTTTCTTTCTGATTTTTTTTTTTTTTCCTTTTTAAGAATTTTTTTTTTTTTTAGAAAAAATATCTTGCAGCTTTATCTTTAGGACTTTCTTTTTACGAAGAACCGAAAGATGCATTAGGTTTAAAAGGATCTAGAGAAAGGAGGAAAGAAATTGCAAAGGGTAAAATCGTTCAAATTTTAGAACAATTCATTGAAGACATGGAAAATCCCATCGATGATATTTCGGCCATAATGCAATATGCGGTCTCCGTGCAATACAAGTAAGAACGCCAAATAATAATTTTTTATTTTTATTTAATTGTGCTTTTACAATTTATTTTATTTTCAGTGATATAATTTTTAACACGCTGTGGGATTACGTTTCTATTGATTCCAATTTGAAAAGGATATTTTTAGAAGGATTGGAACCGTTTATTCTCAACGATCAATTGACTTCAATACCACCGTCCATATTACAGCATTTCGTCAACACTTATGAAAATACTGGAAAGCTTCAAGTAAATTTTAAATATCGAGAAAGAGAAAAAAAAAAAATTCTTATTAACATAAAGACAATGTAAACAATTTTTTTTTTTTTTTTGTAATAAATTTAAGGCTTTGGAAGCTTGCATCATTCATTTGGACATTGGTTCGTTGGATCTTCATCAAGTAATGCAAGTTTGTTGGGCTCACGGTTTGTACGACGCCATTATTTACGTACATAATAAAGCTTTAAACGATTATATTACTCCCATTCACGAGTTAGTTCCTATTTTACAAAAAGCCTTAACGACAGGTATTCAAATTATTAAAGGAAGTAAGAATTCAAATCGATTGAGGATTGACTTGAGTGAATTTTTTTTTGTTTTTTTTTTTTTTTTTTAGGTTGCAAATTAACTGCCAAAGAAGTTGAATTGGGAAATAAACTTTTAGTGTATGTTAGTTGTTGTTTAGCGGGAAGAGGTTATCCCATCGGTGATGTTGCAAAGGAATCAGTTCAACACGTTAAATACGAAATGTTTAAATGCCTTACGAATCTTCACAGCAAAGATGCAGACGACAATGAGTTACCCTATCCGTATTTGAGAACTTTGATTCATTTCGACACGAGGGAATTTTTAAACGTTGTTTCTCTCGCATTTACAGAACCGGAATTCACTTCCGACGTTGGTTTGAGACAACGTCAAAGGTTAATAGATATTTTATTGCATATAATGGTGGATAATTCGGGTTATACCGTTCACGAAATCGGTGCTTTGTATATATTTTTGGCAAGGCAAATAAGCCGGCCTTTTAACGGTTTAATTGTTGATAAAGATTTATTCGATAAGATTTTCGGGTATTTGACGACGACGAGTCCGGAACATTTGGAAGAAAGACAGCAGGCTTTATTGGATGTTTTCAGAGCCGACGGTTTACAAGACTATTCCAAAGATCACATATTAGATTTGGCGAGAAAAGCAAAATTGTAAGATTAATTGACTTTTTGATTGCCTTTTTTTTTTTTTTTTTTTTACAACGTGTTAATAATCTTCATTGTTTTATTTTTAATAAAATTATTAAAATTTTCCTTCGAGGCACGTACAAATTGATTGATTGATGATTTTTTCTTTTTTTTTTTTTTTTTTCGACGTAAGTTTTCGAGTTTGCGAAGCCATACACGAACAAAATGGAGAATGGGATCAAGTGTTTTTATGTTACCTACAAGACTCGCTGCGAAGACCACAAGTATTTTCATTTTTGAGAAATATATTACTTTTGTACAAAAACACGGACGATGCGAAACCCATATTGGAAAAAGTTTGTAGCAAAATTGAAGATTTAATGGATTTAGACGTTGAAAGAACTTCAACGATAATCGCCACCCACGCATTAAATAAATTGCCGGATTTGTTGGATAATCTGAAAGAAAATCCCAAATATCAATTGGCATTGTTACAATCTATCTTGTATGGAAAATCAAAGTTAGTAATAATTTTCCGACAGTTTAAACGTAATTTCGGTTAAAATAACAAAATAAAAAAAAATTTTTTTTGTTTTTTTTTTTTTTTTTTTTTTTATAGGGATTCCGTGAGCGATGGCGATTCATCACTTCTCGTGCAATATTTTAATAAATACATTAAATTAATATTTGAAATAGATCCGAAATCGGCCGTTCAAGAATTGAAATTTCGTACGGATTTGTATAATTTAAATGAAGTTTTAGAAATAGCACGTAGTTGTAATCACGAAGAAGCTCAGGCATATTTATTAGAAAAAAACGAAGACTGTAAAGAAGCGTTTGAAGTGTGTTTTTCTCTTTCTCTCTCTCTCCCTCTCTCTCTGCCCGCCCCCCACCCCCGCCGTTTTCCCATCGTTGATAATTTTTTTTTTTTTTTGTCGTGATTTCAGGTTTTAAAAAATAAATTAATTAAAATGTTAAACGGTTCAATAAATTTTACGCAAATCGAATTAGATGAATTATTTAAAAAATTAATAGGATTGATTCAAAGATTTCAAACGAAAAATGGCGAATCGAACATTCAAAAACTTTGGCTGACGTTATTGGACGTGTTAATCACGTGCGAAAATTCAATCGATCAAAAAGGTAACAACAATTTTTTGGTTTACTAAATGTATTCGTTGCCGTTAAATAAATAAAAAAAAATTTTCATTTTTTAGAAAAAACACGTTTGATAGCGATGGTTCTCAGCGGAACGATGGGACACGCAAATCCTTCATTCATTTTAGAACATTTGCTTCATCGCACGAATTCCGTGGCGACGTTCGGAGAAATCAGACATTTACTAACGGGTAGGTTTTTGAATCGATATCGATTTTCATCGATGTGACATAATGTTTCGACGTTGACGTACGACAGGTATGTTGGAGAACACTTGGTTCGAAGAACAATTGGTGAAAACGACGCAAAAAGTCGTCTGCTCGGATTTGTACTCGCAATTGGTGTCCTCTATCGATTCCGCCAAACGTGGCATACGAGCATCGAATTCATCGTGTTCGGCTTGCAACAAACCTTTGGTCAACAGTTCAGTTTTTATATTTTTTTGCGGTCATTCCCAACACGAAGATTGCATGACGGACTATCAGTGTCCGATATGTTCGACATTAGCTTTAGACAAGGCAAGTGAGAAATAATTCGATACGATTCCCTTTGTCTCGAATTAAAAAAAAAAAAAAAAAAAAAAATTTACTTATTTATTTATTTATTTTAAAGATGTCGTCTAAGGAATCGAATAACGTTTCGTTAACCGGACATAAAACAAATTCGGCAACGTTGAGTTCGAACGTTATCAGTAGTCAATATTTTAAATTGAAAGTTACCGCACCTCCAGCACCGGATTTGGAAAATTTGGAAAGGAATGCGAACGTGTTGAATTTCAAATAAAACGGAAGTTAAGGTATTAATTATCATTCTATTATTATTATTATTATTACGGAAAAGCTTTAAACCCATCATAAACGTATTATTATTATTATTATTATTTTCTTGTCTCTTATATATATTTTTAATATCGTTTTATTTTATTATTGTTTGTTTTATGATTGATAGTTTAAAAAAAAAAAAATTATTTTGAGAGGAGTTTTTTTTTTTACGGTTTTTGTTTTTGTTGTTATCATTTATCAGAAGAAAAAAAAAAAAAGAAAAAACCCGCCGACGAAAAGAAAAGAAAAAAAGAGAGGGAGAGAAGAAAGTTTTTGTTGTTGTTGTTGTTGTTCTTGTTCGATTCATTGGTTGATCTCGATAATTTTCTGCCCTAACAAAAAAAAAAAAAAAAAATTAAATTTTATTTGTTTAAAATTATTAATTATTGTTGTTCGTTGTTGGAATCGTCGTCATTTTCTCTCTCTCTCTCTCTCTCTATGTCTCTCTGTTTCACCATCTCACTCACTCAAACGATCGCGGCATTTTAAAAATCTCATGGATTCACTTTTGTTATTAATTTTTTTTTCCCCTCCTCTTGACTTCTATCCCCTCCCCCCGCCATTTTCGAACAAAAAATTAATAATAATAATGATAATAATATAAACATTTTTCATTTACGCTTAAATGACAAATTTTTTTTCCGCACGATATGGGAAATTTCAGGGAGGGGGGGGAGGGGGGGGGAAAGAAAAAAACAAGAAAAACAAAATGAACGAAATTAATTAATTTTTATTTATTCGTTATTTATCCACTTAATCTATTATAACTTTATTAAAATTAATAATAATAATAATAATATAATAATAATTTATGTATAGCTGCTGTCTTTTATCATTATTATTATTTTTTGTTATTAAATCCGCTGTAATATATATAATACACTTTATAATATAAATAACATAATACTCGTAATCACATTCATGTATTGTTAAGAATTAATAGAAAAATATACATTATTAAATAGAGCAACAGTAAAAACATTGTTTCTAATGTCAACTAAATTTCACTTGCTTTATCATTATCATTATCATCATTATTTATTTATTTATTTATTTACTTACTTACTTATTGGTTTTATAAAAAAAAATTGATCATTTAGAATATTTCATCGATTATAAATTTATTTATTTATTATTATTAATTAAATTGATCCTCTTGCATTTTTATTTATTTTTTGTAATAAATATTCTACTAGAAGAATTTTAAAGCTTCTTTTTTTTTTTTTTTTTTTTTTTTACAGGCCATTTATTTTTTTTTTTGTAAATTTTTTAAAAATTAATTTCGATTACTTTTCTCTCTCTCTTTCTCGTTGGAAAAGAATTTTTTCGCTCTCACTCTCTCCCTGTCTTTTACCAAATGAAATTATTAGAAAAAAATAAAGTAAATGAATCCTGATGATTTTTTAATAATATGTTAAATATTTATTATTATTATTATTATTATTATTATCAGTCAAAGTGTAGACCGGAATAAATAATAATCCATGTGACTAAAAATCCGGCAAAGGAAGTCATAAAACCTTCTTTAGTCAATTCCCATGCTCCTCCATATTCTTCTTCATCGATTGATTGAAATGAATTGAAATATATATAAATAACTCCTGCATTTACAATAGCAAATCTATAAATAAATGTAAAATTAATAATAAATAATCAATTATTGTAGTTATAAAATTGTACAAATTTGAAAAAAATAAATCGATATTTATTTTTAACATTATTTTGTTTATTTTTTTTGATAAAGTAAAATCGGCAAAGCTAAAAGTTTGTTTTGTTTTTTTTTTAAGTTAATTAGTTAATTAGAAAATGAGAAATTTAATAAAGAAAAAGGAAAAGGAAATCGTTATTGGGGGGAGGGGAAATTATTCAAAACAAAAACATAAAAAATATGAATGAAAATTTATTTTAAATAAGAAAAAAGAAATTTTTTTCAATTGGCATAATTGAAAAAAGCCATTTGGCAATTCAATTAAAAAATGACCGACTTTTGTCATAATTTTCCCACGAGGGTCATTATTTACTATCGTAATTTATTATAAATAATGTATGTTTACTTGTTGAAACTAAATTTACAATTAATATAAAAGGATTTGTGTATTTAGATAGATAAAAAAAAAAAAAAACTTACAACAATAATGCGATAAATCCTTTTAAAGGAATTAATCCCCATACGATTCCAACAATAATTCCAATAATTTGTCTGGACCAATAAATAACATCCAAAAATTCATCTTTATCTGGCCATTCTGAATTAGCTGTAATTGCTCTTTTCCATATAGGATCAGCAGCTATGGGTTTCATATTAGAATCATAGGGCGAATCATTATTCCTTAATAATTGTTTTGTTTTAAACATTTTACAAAAAAATAAAAAAATTTTTTTTCTAAATAACGCAGTTTGTTTATAAACAATAATTTTTTTTAAATTTTTTTAACATTTCTAAAGTAATTCGAAACGTTTATAAATCGACTACGTCATCGAGAATGCATACACATTTATAATAAGCAGAAGAAATTTATTTATACCACGTGGATGTGAAAACGATCTCTGATTGGTTGAAATTTTTTATGACGTCATTCGTAATAAACTCAGTGATTTGCCTCCAAAATGTGTAAATCATTTCAGAATGTTTTTCATACGCGAGTGGATAACTTGTGGTATTTTGTGATTTTGACTTTTTTTTGAATTTTTTTTTTTTTTAATGACAGTGCAATTAAAAAATTTGGAGAGAGAAAAAAAAAAAGAAAAACATTTTACATTTGTGTTCATAAAAGTGATCGTGAGTGATTTTTTTCTTTTTTTTTTATTTTTAAATTAATAGTTTCGGTGACATTCAGTAATATCGTTCGTATTTAAAAAAAAATTTTGAATTAGTTAATCTTTTACACGGTTTAAAAATAAATCATAAATTAAATATTTTTTATAATTTTTTAATATATTTTAATAAAAATATTTATTATTAATACGTGTGTCAAATATAGAATCAATGAAAAATTTTTTTTTTTTTTATCTAGTAAACAAAATAGAAAAACTCTTTGTTATGTTAATCGTTGGTAAAAATGTTTCTCATTTAAATTACTAAATAATTAAAATTAAAAATTTTAATTTAAATTATATATAGTGGAACGAGTTTTATACAATTCAAATGTGTTTTTTTTTTTTCAGTCAAGTATTTTTAAGTAATGTTAGTCGACCCACTTGTTTAAAGTGAAAACCTTTTGGTGATTTTTTTTAAAATAAATAATTAAGTTTTAGTTAATAATAATGGGTGACATGCTAGAGGGAATACAAACAAGTAAAGGAGTTGAATATGGTTTAAACGGACACAAAAATCCACATCCTAATTCTCTTATCGATAAATTTACTAAAATAATTAGTTTAAGTTCATCGTGTACCTGTTTTTGGACTTTGACATCGCTTTTATTTCTAATGTTTGTTATGTATGTATGTAAAACTTATGTGAAAGCATTATTAATATGGATCAGTTATCAGGATCCGATATTAGTTAATTTATTATTTATTTTATTATTTACATTAGTTTCTTTTCCATTTTTATGGGGTTACATGTTATTAGTGCTTTCAAGCGGTTATTTATTCGGTGTAGTGCATGGATTAATAGTTGTTATAGTGTCTGCGAATACAGGTGTTGCAATTGCACATTACACTATTAAATCCTTTCATGCCAAATATCCAATATGTAAAATAAGTGAAAGTGACAATGCTCAAGCTGTTTTGAGAGTTATTTCCGGTTCGCAAGCATTTAAAATAGTCATGATATGCAGATTATCACCGATTCCATTCGGTTTGCAAAATACAATTTTTGCAGTAAGTATACAATAACAAATACCTTTCTTTTTTTTTTTTTTTTTTAAGAAAAACAAATTGTTAATTACCATATTATCATCAAATCCATGATAATTAAAAACAAAAAAAAAAAAAAACAAAAACAAAACACATTCATTATCAAAATTTAAAATTAGCAACAATATTCTATTTTTAGGAAACACAAACAACTTTTTAAAAAATTATAAAAAAAAAAAAGTCGAAATTAAATTTTTAAATATAAATATATATATATATTAATTAAAAATTATTATTATTATTATTATTTATCTTACAGTGACAATAATTTTTATTTACTCGATATCATGTATTATTTACACAAACTGTATTGTTGTTTTCTCATGTTAATTTCTCACATTGATTATTATTATTATTATTATTATTCTCAAATATTAGTTTTACTTACTTTATATTAATTATAATAATAATTAAATTATTTTATTTACAAAGATTTGATTTATTTGTTTTTACAGACAAATTTAAAATAAAATAATAAATTGTTTAATTTTATTTATTTAAATAAATGAATGTGTTTGTGTGTGTGTGCGTGTACATGTGTGTGCTTGTGTGTATGTGCGTGTGTGCGTGTACATGTGTGTGCTTGTGTGTGTGTGTGTGAAAGAGAGGTGAAGAAGAAAAAAATGTCAACTGTATTTTCTTACAGCTGAGTGATATACCACCAAAGACGTGTCACACGGCGACATTTTTCGGTTTGTTACCCGCTCAATGTCTTGCCACATATTTGGGGAGTACACTGAGATCGATAGAAGACGTTCTAGACGATCATTCGAAAGCAACAACGGGTTTCATTGTGTTATCAATACAAATAGTCTTCGGAATAACACTTTTGGTCTACGTCGTTCACAAAGCGAGACAAGAATTAAAAAGTGCTTTAATACTTCAACAAATAAGTAGTTCGCCATCGAAAGAATCAACCCTGACGACCATAACCGTGAGCTAGTTATTACGTTTAACAATAAACAAAAAAAAACTAATAATAATAATAATAATGATGATGATAAATATCGCCAAAGATTTATTCTAAAAAAAAAAAAATTAAAAAAAAAATTTTGTTTATATATATATATATTATTTGAAATATAAAAATGCAATTTAAACGAATTATTATTATTATTATTATTATTATTATTATTATTATTATTATTATTATTATTATTATTTTTATAAACGAATCCAAGATAATAATAATAATAAAACATTTGCTTAGGAAAAACTCGCGTTTGCATTTAAAAAAAAAAGAAGGAAAAACAATAAAAACGAGGACATTTTTTTTTTATTATTATTTTATTTTATTTTTCATTCGACTTGTATTTATTAATTTATTATGTAATAGCTTTTTTCTATTATTATTATTAATAATAATAAACAAATAAATTTTTTTTTTTTATGTATATATTAATTTTTTATTACTTTTCGTTTTATTTGCGGTGAGAAACGAAAACAAAAAACAAAGAAAAACAAAGAAAAAACACTTGAATTGACGCGATTTGTGAATAATAATATTATTATTATTATTACTATTATTATCATCATTGTTTTTCACGCATTTGTTTTTTTTTTTTGTTTTTTGTAATCATTGTATTTTTAAATTTGTTAAAAAAATTTTTTTTTGTTTGTTTTTCGTTTAAAAAAAAAAAATTGTTTTAATATATATGAATTTTTTTTATTTATTTTTGACATTGAAAAAAAAAAAAAAAAACATTTTTTCGTGGGGGGTTCCCCTTTTGTAAAAAAAGGTTATACGATGGAATAGAGTGTGTGCGTGTGCGCATGCGCGTGTTTATAAAAAAAGTTTCAAAATAAAAAATCCGTTTATTATTTATTTATTTATTTCGCAATTTTTTCCGTTTTTTTTTTTTTTTTTTTTGTTTTTTTGGGTTAATATCTAAATTTATAGTTTTCA